CATTAACACAAGTATGTCATACTGTTGGGAAAAGTGCCTTGGTAGCAGTGGAGACGTGCTGTATGAAGGGATATAAAGGGTTGATCCGTATGCCAACGACCTTCTTACCGTCGAAGCAGATTTTCCTGGGATCGCCAAGATGTCTCGCCTCAACCGTTTCAGTCCTCGGCTTTGAAGCATCTCCGTTGCCTTTCGGTGTGCGTTTTCGGTTGGCTCCGAGGCCCCTTCAGGTTCTTAACCGCCTCTATGAACCACGCTTTCATCCAAATCATCAGGTTATGGGCGAGTTCTGCGAGTAAAGCAAAACTTGCTGTGCGATAAATCTGTCTTTCTGTATTTTCGCAAAGAGAGGGCTGATAATCTGGGCGAAAGAGTTCTCCGGGGCCCCACTGCGTTTGTCATATTCAAGCAGCAGTTCTTCAAGCGTTGCGGTCGTGTCGGTTGAAACCAACACGCATAACTCCAAGTGCCATCTTTTTCGGTGTTCTCACAGCGACTTGAAACCGTCCGTCTCGCATACCGATGCGGTTGTTGAACCCACCCTGCTTCTCTACCCTTGACGCCTTTCGACGTTGGCACAGACACCCACTCCTCCATGGGGGCCGCTACTTTTGGATCCGGCGGGAGTTATACATCTTCCCGATGAGGCGATACCCCCGCCATAAGGCATAATTGATATTGGCATCCGTGCCAAATCCGGCATCAAAGCGAAGCCGAACTCGGCTCCGTTTCTCAACGCTATCAAGCGTCAAAACAGTCTCAAGTTTGCCGAGCATCGGCTTGAAAACAGCATCGCTGTTGGTTTTACCGGGGTATAACGCCTGCGTAAATATCTCTTGGGTGTCTCCGCAGACACACCGTGCCAACTGACGCGTATAAGTATTCGGCTTTTTCGCGACATATCCTTTCTCTGAACCCTCGGCATGCTTGCCAATCGGCAAGGAAGAGAGGTCTATATCCACACCTATCTCATCTTCAGCCCCCAAAGACACCTGACGCCCCTGACCTTGTTTGAGACGCACCTCCGCTAAAGCAGATTCAAGTGAAGCAACAGTCGCCTCCGTTGAGGCATCTAACGTCTGCTGGATCACCGACGCATCCGCACATCTTTGGTAGCCAAAGCCACCTAACAAGCCACGATCCGAGCGAACTTTGGTTTGGATTTCAGACACCGTCTCCGCACCCGATAGCATCCCTAACACCACAAAAACTAACTTGTCTGTCGGACGATACACAACTGTTTTCTGCCCGATATTCACCGTGTCATGGAGGGGCTGAAATACCTCACGAACCCGCAACACTTCACCCAGAGCACACAACGGCGCCTGAGGCGTTACCACCCATTTTTTACCATTGTGCTTTTTCCGTTTTTTTGCTATACTTCTTTTTGCCATTGAAGACCTCCAAAAAGGTTTAGGTTCTAACACTTATATCATAACCTTTTTAGAACTTCAATGGCACGTTATTTCTACTTTCACACACCCTAAAGCAAGTAATCAAATCATGCTTTCATTGGACAAAAACAAGGAAACTATAGTACCTGAATAGAGCAGTTTCATAGATGAGATTTCTATCTGACTACTTTCTCTGATTTTAGTTCCCCTATAGATTCGTGATTCAGAAAACGTGAAGAGGTCATTATAGTTTTGGGTTTACCGTTCTCAAAGTGCTAAGTAGGGTTTGAATAGTTTTCTGAAAGACAGAATGCAAGACATCAGTCTGAAGGGCGTTCTTGCATCACTGGAATCACGTAACTCCGGATTGTCAATCCGTCCAATATCTCTGTCTCTACACGAGGGACCGGTGTGCTACGGTGATCAAACACGACGTAATATCCCTCCACGGCTCTTTCCGATTTAACGTACGCGGCAAGCTGCGCTTTGCCTGCCTGATACCGAGTATCTCCTCCCCAAATTTTTGTTTCAACAATGTATTTTTGGTTTCTGTGGAGAATGAGGATGTCCATTCTGCCACGTCCTGTTTGCACCTCAAGATACATAGTTCCGCCCACAATCTGGACGAACTGTTCAAGATAAGCGAAGAGGAGATGCTGTCCGACATATTCTCGTGGCGTATCTGGTACTTGCAGAATTTTGAAACCTGCGCGTGCGATAAAATCGCGGAAGTTATCAAGGAGTCCTGTCATTTGAATCTGCCCATCCGGCGTGAGATAATCCTGAAATCCTGCGCGATTGTCTTCCGGTAAATATTCCTGCTCCAGTCCATTCACTATCGGTTTGAATGCGTGCATGATGCAATAGTGATAAATTGGGTTGATAATTTCACACATACCGTCAGCACCTTCAGCAATGACACCGTAAGTGGCGAGTTCATTGATGTGTTCATTGTAAAGGTTAAATCCTACACCTTCATCATAAGAAGCGATTTTCATAAGGAATGCCTCAAATCGCCGGTCCCTACGGATATTCGTTATCAGGTGATCAATGTTAGTGTGTCCTTCGCGAAGAAGCTGCACGTGTGCCGTTGAAAAGTGTTCCATCGTAATCGGTTCGCTTTTAGGAATGTCCAATTCATCGGTAAGTATCTGCGCGAATCGATTGACGAGTACAGGTTGTCCAGCAGTCTGTTTGTGAATGGCTTCGATAGTTTCAGGCACAAAGGGTTGCCCGACCTCGTCGGTATATTGTGAAAGGAGTTCCCGCACTTGTTCAAGCGAGAAATTGGGCAATTTGAACTCGTCTTGGATATTGAAGGGAGAGATCGAGCGATCATAATTGAGTTGCGTGATGCTCTTGACACCGACGATGCCCACACTATGCGGACACCGAGTCCTCCCGGAAAGGTAGATCTGACGCAGCGAATGCAGAAACCCTCTAATGGCATCTCGTGGAATGCTATCAAACTCATCGATAATCACGACAAATCGCTGCCTTTCCAGCAAGTCCCCAAGGTCTTCAAAAAACTCTCGCATTGAAATAGGTTCGGTGATTTGTACATTCGCCAAAAAGCTGCTGAGTCTATCGGAAGGGTTCTCGCTGCGTTTTTGGAAGACATTTTTAATTTCTTTACAAATCTCTTTGCAGAGGGACCCGTAAAAAGCATCGGCATCACTGTCCACGTACCCCTCAAAATTAAGGTGTATTGGGAAACAGGTACCGCCTTCGTCTTCAAGTGCGCTGAGTGCGCTTCGGAAAAACGTGGTCTTGCCTGTCTGGCGTGGCGCGAAGAGGACGATGTATCTGCCCCTTTTCAGTCGATTGATAAAATCCGCGAGTTCATCTGTACGTGCAACGAAGTAATTATCCTCGGGATACACGGGACCGCTTGTTTCAAACCATCTCATCTTTTGTTCTCCTTTAAATAACTACGGGAATTATATCAGATTGAGGGCTGGAGTCTATAAGAAACCGCAGTTATTATTTCTACGGTTTCTATCCGTTTTAGGTGGGAGTCGAGGCTGGAAAGTTAATCCTACAGTGAGAAGACCTTGATTGGAAAATCGAAACTATAGGAACTATTAAGGGTATAAAACACAATCTTCTTTTTTTAGAACGGACTTATCATCTTCAAGACGCTCAACTAAAGTTTGGATGGTTTCTTGAAATACTGGATGCACTACATCCGGTGCAATTTCTGCTAACGGAGCCAGCACAAAACGGCGGAGATGCATCTCTGGGTGCGGAATGACGAGTTTCTCAGTCTGGAGACACAAATCACCATAGATTAATATGTCCAAGTCAATCTCTCTTGGCCCCCAGCGAATGCGGTGTTGTCTACCAATAGCGGTTTCGATGTTTTTCAAGGTGTGTAGTAAGGATAAGGGAGGAAGGTTGGTTTGAATTGCAGCGACACCGTTGAGAAAATGTGCTTGTGCCTCATATCCTACAGGGTCGGTTTTATAAACGGAGGAAATCTTTTGTATCGTGATCCCCTCCGTCTTCGATAAGGCATGGATGGCATTCTGGATGTGTGCTTGTCGGGCGCCGATGTTGCTTCCAAAGCCGATATAAACTAAGTGGAATGGATTTTCGGTTGATGACAACATGGCTGAACCCCGGCAATTCGTGAGTGTCACAAACTGATTAGGCAGTCTTTAATAGTTCCTCAAGATTCCTACCAACAGTCGGCTGCGGGAGCGGTTTATTTTTTTTCTGTGCGTAGTGCCAACAACTCGTCAACAACCTCACATAATTGCCGGAAAACTTCTACTTCGCTATCGCCGTGACAACACGGACCGATGATTCCCGGACAATATCCGATGAAACATTCATCCTCATCTGACCATTCGACAATCTTGATGTATTTTGCACTTTCGCTCATCTTTGAGATTCGTCAATTCCGCTATAAGTTGTCGTATTTTTCTGGGCATAGAACTTACCGATGTGGAAGGTGTGCCTTACCCGACTAACCCGTGAATTTACGGATGGCGATAGAGGTATTGTGTCCGCCGAAGCCGAACGCATTGGAAAGCGCGACTGAAACTTTTGCATCACGACTCTCATTCGGGACGTAATCCAAGTCGCAGGCTTCATCTGGCGTATCGTAGTTGATCGTCGGTGGCAGATAACCTTTCTCCATCGCAGCTAAGCAGGCGATGAGCTCCACAGCCCCCGCAGCACCGAGCAGATGACCCACCATTGATTTAGTGGAACTAACGGGGATTTTGTACGCCTGCTCGCCGAACACGGTTTTAATAGCGTTCGTTTCAGCGATGTCGCCAATAGGTGTAGAGGTACCGTGTGCATTGATATAGTCGATAGCATCTAATGGCAATTCAGCATCCCGGAGTGCGAACTCCATTGCTTTCGCTGCACCTTCGCCGTTGTCAGGCGGGCTTACCATATCGTGGGCATCTGAAGTCATCCCGTAACCAACAATTTCCCCGTAGATATGTGCACCTCGCTTTTTGGCATGTGAAAGCGATTCAAAGATTAATACCCCTGCGCCGTCACCCATAACAAAGCCGTCTCTGTCCTTATTGAAAGGACGCGAGGCGCGTTCAGGTTCATGGTTCCGCGCCGACATCGCGCGCATTGAACAGAACCCTGCGAAAGCTAACGGCGTAATCGCCGATTCCGTGCCACCAGTGAACATCACATCTGCATCCCCGCGCTGAATGATGCGAAACGAATCTCCCATAGAATGGTTCGCACTCGCACACGCGGTGACGGATGTAGAATTCGGACCTTTGAGGTTAAAACGGATTGAGATCTGCCCTGCTGCCATGTTAATAATCATGTGAGGCACAAGAAACGGGCTAACGCGTTTGGGCCCCTTTTCGGCAAGGGTTTTTGCGTTATCTTCAAGGACACCGATGCCGCCGATCCCTGAACCCACTTGTGTCCCCGCACGGTAAGGATCCACTTCATCAAGTTCCAGACCGGAGTCTTTGTGTGCCATGATTGCAGCGGCAAGTGCGAACTGAATGAAAAGCGGAAGTCTGGACGCGGCGCGGCGATCCATGTACTGTTCCGCCTGAAAGTTCTTTACTTCTCCGGCGATTTGGGTGCGATGCTCAGAGGCATCAAAATACGTCAAAGGTCCGATTCCGTTTTTACCGCTGGCAAGCGCATCCCAATATTCTTCTTTCGTGTTGCCAATTGCATTGACAACGCCGATTCCTGTAATAACTACACGCTCCACGAGACCGATCCTTTTTTATTTTATAGTAAAGCCCACAATTAATTATACACCTAAAGCTTGGCGGGGTTAGGGATGCAGATCGCATGAATCAACACGGAATGCGCGTGTGGCATTCCGTGGGGCTTTACGCCGCAAAACCTCGCCAGCGAGGATGGGGTTTTGTGTTTTCTAAAGTGTCCACGTATTTTCGGCTTTACTATAGTTGCAGACGCGCTTGGACGCTTTGCCAAGCGCGCACTAAAGAGGGCTAATAGCGTGCCGCTACCCACCCTCAGTGATATGTCTTAACCTATACATGTTCGTCAAGGTAACTCAGGGCATCTTGAACGGTCTGAATTTTCTCCGCATCACTATCGGGGATCTCAATGTCGAATTCCTCTTCAAGTGCCATGACCAATTCAACAGTATCAAGTGAGTCAGCACCCAAGTCTTCCATGAAGGAGGCATCTGCGGTAACATTATCTTCGTCAACACCGAGTTGTTTCGCAATAATTTCGACGAGGCGTTCTTGGTTTGTTGCCATAGCGTTTCTCTGATCTCCTATAAAATTTTTGTCCGCAAGATTGGTATTGCGGTTCAGCATTTGTCCTTATATTACAGGGCAAATAGTGCCTTGACCGTTTCTGTGGTACGGACTTACGAACAAAGCCTTACGTCAAGACAGTCATACAGGTTATGGGCATTGAAAACAGTGCCCTATGGACGGGTTAACCAGCCGTCCATTCTATTGGTGCCTTTGGAAAACTCCAAGTGCACTTGAATTACATCACCATGCCACCGTCAACCTGAAGTATTTGACCGGTGATATAGCGTGCAGCATCTGACACCAAAAAACAGGCAGCGTCTGCTACATCTTCTGGGTGTCCAAACTCTCGTACTGGGATCAGTTCAAGCAGTTGTTTCTGATGCTCTTCCGATATTTGTGCTGTCATATCTGTTGTGATAAAACCGGGGGCAATAGCGTTCACAGTGATACCGCGCGCGCCGACCTCTTTCGCTGTAGCCTTCGTCAAACCGATGATCCCAGCTTTCGCTGCAGCGTAACTCGCTTGTCCCGCGTTTCCCATTAATCCAATAACCGACGAGATATTAATAATTCGTCCACTTTTCTGGCGTATCATGGGGCGTAGCACAGCACGGGTGCAGTACATTGTGCCGGTTAGATTTGTCTGTAGAACAGCGTCCCAGTCCTCATCTTTGAGACGCATGAGCAACATGTCACGGGTAATCCCTGCGTTGTTCACGAGAATGTCAATTTGCGAAAACTGTTCAATCGTTTTTTCAATAAGTGCTTCGACATCAGCCTTTTCAGAATGTCGGCGGCCATTGAATATGTGGAGTAGCCTTTGCCTTGCAGTGTATCGGCGATCTGTGCGACTGACTCGGCAGAACGCGAGCAAAGAACGACGTTCGCGCCGGCTTCGCAGAGTCTCTGCGCAATTGCCGCGACCAATGCCACGCGACGCGCCTGTAACAATAGCCGTTTTACCACTCAGTAGGTCTTCTCTAAAGGCATTCTGTTGTGTTGTCACATCCATTTTATCCACCATTTCCGTGTTCATCTGCTACGACGGACAGCGTCTTAATGTCTTCAACGTTCACAGTACTACTTTCTGGAAGTGTCCGTTTCACTAAGCCGGACAATACCTTCCCCGGTCCTACCTCTACAAAATGTGTGATACCGGCTTTCTCAATAGTCCGCAGCGTTTTCTCCCACTGGACGGGTTGTGTTATCTGTTGAAAGAGAAGGTGCCGAATGTCCTCCACATCTTTCACGAACTCACCCGTTACGTTCATTACGATGTCAACTTGCGGGGGATACAGCGTCACCGAATCAAGTGCGGATCGGAACTTTTGTTGCGCCGGTGCCATCAATGGCGAATGAAACGCTCCGCTTACCGGCAAAAGGCGACACCGTCGCTCACCAATCTCAACTTTGGCGAGTGAGACGACATGATTGACAGCATCTACTTCTCCAGAAATTACTAATTGACCGGGACAGTTGTAATTAGCGATATTCACAGTCCCTTCGGTCCCGTCACAGAGTTCTCGCAGTTGTTCTATTTCCATGCCGAGGATTGCTGCCATGGTGCCTTGTTGTGTTTCCCCGGCTTCTGCCATGAGGCTTGCGCGTGCGTGTACCAAGCGCAAGGCATCGGCGAAGTCGAGAACACCTGCCGCCACGAGTGCGGAATACTCCCCTAAACTATGCCCAGCGACTGCGTTTGGCGTGATACCGAGTTCCTTTAGGATTCGCAATGTTGCGACACTGCAGGTCAAAATCGCCAGTTGTGTATTTTCGGTCTGTTTTAAGGCTTCTTCTGGTCCCTCGAAACAGAGTTGACTTAAGGCACGTCCAAGAGCTGCGTCGGCTTCCTGAAAAACGGTATTGGCAATTGGATAGGCTCGCGCCAATTCCGCGCCCATGCCTACCTGTTGTGAACCTTGTCCTGGAAAAATAAAGGCGAGTTGTGTCATCTTCTTCTGAAGTGTATGCAAGGCTTTCAGATTTCGGTTACAATCGTAGGAGTGTACTTCCCCATGTTAAACCCGCGCCAAAAGTTACAAACAGAAGCAGATCTCCTGGCTTTGCCCGCCCTTCGCGAATTGCCTCATCCAACGCGATAATCACCGTTGCTGCGGAGGTATTACCATATTTATCAACGTTAACATAGACCTTCTCTCGCGGTACGCCGAGTCTGTCGCCGACTGCCTCAATGATGCGCAAATTCGCTTGATGCGGGATCAACAGGTCGATCTCCTCAATGCTAACATTTGCCTCACGTAGAACGCGTTGCGCAGCTTCGGGCATAAGTCGCACCCCGAGTTTAAAGACTTCTCGACCATTCATCTGAAGTTTGTCCCTTTTTTGGTCAATCGCTTCCGGGCGTGATCGGCATTCTGGATCCACCTGCGGGGATGCCAAGGAGATCGATATCAGCATAATCTCCATCGGACCCGATATAAGATGCAAGGATCCCTTTAGGTTCATCCGTGGCTTGGACTATAGCAGCACCCGCGCCATCTCCAAAGAGGACACATGTGTTTCTATCGTTCCAGTCAATGATGTTGTTAAAAACTTCACCACCAATGACCAGAATGGTATTATATCGTCCAGATTTAATCATGCCATCGGCTAAATCCAGCCCATAAAGGAAACCGGCACACGCAGCAGATAAATCCATTGCGGCGGCGTTCTTCGCACCGATGCCTTTCTGGACATAGCACGCTGTTGAGGGAAAAAACGTGTCAGGTGTCACGGTAGCAACGAGAATCATCTCGATGTCAAGTGGGTCAATATTAGCATTTTTAATTGCCCATCGTGCGGCATGTATACAGAGGTCTGATGTAGCGACATCGTCTTCAGCAATGCGTCGTTCGGTAATTCCTGTGCGTTGACGAATCCATTCGTCACTCGTATCCACCATTTTCTCAAGATCAAAGTTGGTAACAACCTGTTCAGGGAGGTAAGAACCTGTTCCCGTGATGGTTGCATGTCGAAGTTGCGTCATTATGTCTCTCTTGGCGTTTTTGGCGTTGTAAGGTCCTGCTTGCAAGCCGTGACTTGCTGTGAAATCTCGTCGGTTTTTCTGACCGACACCTTACCTACGCCTCGTCAGTGGATTTTAGCACAGGTCGTCCATTGTAATGTCCACATTCGGAGCAGACACGATGAGAAGTGATCGTTTCTCCGCAATATGAACAGACGCTTGTAGTTTTATCGTGGAGCGCGTTATGACTCCGCCGCATTCTTTTTTTCGATTTTGACGTTCTCCGTTTCGGATGCGCCATGGTTATCTCCTTACAATTCTTTGTGGTCTTGATAGTCTGGATCTGAAGTTCATTCCCACAATTTGATCTCTGTTATCGTTTCAACTATTTTCGAGCATTTTTGACAGGACCGAAAAACGGATTAGAGGTAGATGCCGGTGCCTCATCCATTGGCTCGCAAGAACAAGCCTTGATATTGAGTTCCGCACCACATTGTGGGCATAGTCCTTCGCATGTTTCGGAACAAAGCGGCCATACTGGTATTTCAAGAACAAGTGCCCGCCGAACGTCTTCTGAAATATCTACGGTTTCCCCGTCATAGTATCGCTCATCCGCTTCACTCTGTTCTAACGATTCACTACCGATGGAGAATAGCTGTTCAACCGTTGTCGTTATGTCCACCTCAAACGGGGTGATACAGCGTCCGCATTCTACCAAAATGTTCGTTTCAATATTAGCTGTCACATAGACATTGTCGTCGCCGTAGCGCAACAGGCGGACTGCACAGGACAGGGGGTTATTAAATTCTACCTCCTCATAGCTCAAACCGAGCAGAGCGGGCGGCACAAGTGCTTCGTATTCCTTGAAGTCCTCGTGTCGAAAGTCTTTCATGTCGAACACTAACGTGTCTCTTATGCCTTCCTTCATATTTAACTTCACCTCAAGCATTTATCAGGCAGTCTTCAGGTTTCCGTGGTTATACAACGGTGGCGAACACGTGGAACTATCCTTAGTTTTAAAAAATTAAAAATCAACCTCTTCTTCGATTCTAATGAGTTGTGTGTCACCTTTCACGTCTTCAAGTGTATAAATCTCAGCAAGTGCAGCTTGCATATTCTTTTCCCGCGCATTGTGTGTCAGCATAACGAGCGATACAGTATCCATACCGTGCGGATCCTTTTGGATGACAGAGGCGATGCTAATCTGCCAGTTCCCCAAGATGGTACCGATTTTTGCCAGCACCCCAGGGCGGTCAGCAACCACAAAACGGAGATAGTAGCGCGTCTCTATATCGTCAATCGGAGAGACATCAACTTCTGCCTGTGCGCCAGCAAGCCATGCTCGCGAAATTGGGGTGCTTATACCTTGCTGCACGGATTTCCCCGCATCAATAATGTCCGCAACGACTGCACTCGCCGTCGGCATCTCACCCGCGCCCTGTCCATAAAAAAGAGTAGGACCAACCGCGTCCCCGATGACGCAGACTGCATTGAATGCACCGCCGACGTTCGCCAACAGACTCCGCTCCGGCACGAGTGTCGGGTGCACGCGCGCCTCTACACGGTTTCCATCGCCTAACTTCGCGATAGCAAGCAGTTTAATGACGTAACCGAGTTCGCGGGCATATTGGATCTCTTTTTGGGTGATGCCTGTGATGCCTTCAACGTGGAATTGCGATAGTGATATACTACTCCGATAAGCAAGAGCGATCAGAAGTATGAGTTTCTGCGCAGCGTCAATACCTTCAACGTCAAATGTTGGATCGGCTTCGGCATATCCTTTATCTTGCGCGGCTTTGAGGATGTCCGAGAAATCGACACCGCGCTCATGCATCTCAGTTAGGATGTAGTTACACGTTCCGTTTACAATACCGTAGAGAGAGTGGATTTGGTTGCCAGCGAAACTCTCTTGAAGTGTTTTAATAATCGGGATGCCACCCGCAGTGCTTGCCTCAAAATTAAGGCTGACTTGATGCTCTGAAGCGAGTTGGAATAATTCGCCGCCGTGATCTGCGAGGAGGGCTTTATTTGCTGTGACGACATGTTTACCGTTTCGGATCGCACGGCTAATGAGAGTGTGTGCTTCGGTGACTCCGCCGATGAGTTCAACGACAATATCAATATCCGGATTGTCAACGACTTCCGCGGGATTAGTTGTCAGACAATCCGCGGGAAGTTCAACGCCGTCCCGCGTGGCAGGAAGTGTCCGTTTGACTATTTTTTTTAGGCATAATTCGATACCACTGTTTTTGGCAATGAGGGCATTCTGATTTAATAGGATTTTGGAAACCCCAGTGCCGACGGTGCCCCATCCTAAGATGCCAACATTAATGTACGACTTGTCCACTACTACAATTCCCTCCTTTCTTGTGACTTGCTGCGCGGCGTGTGATCGAACGCTAACAAACCGAATTATATGTAAGAGATCGGGGCGACTGGATTCGAACCAGCGACCTCTTGAACCCCATTCAAGCGCGCTTCCGGGCTGCGCCACGCCCCGTTAACAGGATTAATCCATTTAATTGTATCATAAGTCATAGCGAATGTCAAATAAAAAATGGACTCAGAGGCATTCGGTTATGAGTTATCAGTAGTCAGTAGCCAGTTATCAGCGGTCAGCGATTTGTCAGTGGGTAAGGTTTAATGAAGATTAAGAACTGTCAGAAGCAGGATTTTCAGGATAATTGGGACAGACATAAATCGGGCTTACAAGGTTTCCTTCCCACAAATGTGCTTCCGGAGAACTGAAAATTAACGATCACTAAAAATGTTCAGTCTATATAGGACGAGCCGGGTACTTCCCTGTTTGTTGTTTTATACGACGTGTAGGGCGAGGTTTCGTGCCTCGCCCTCAATGCAGCATGTAACCTGCGCGTCTACGCGAACCCCATTTCTTTCAGGTTATTGAGGCTAATGCCTAAACTTTCAAACGGGTCGCGTTCGTAGCAACTATCTTGTTCGATGATATACCATTCAACACCTGCGTAGATACAAGCGTTTAAAATAGCTGCCCAATTAAGATTACCTTCGCCGACTTCGGCATAGCGTTGTGTGGAACCTTGCATCGCCATGTCCTTGAGATGGATGATGTCGGCGCGCCCTTTTAACTGTCGGACCCATTCTGCTGGATCGCCGCCGCCGTGCTGAATCCAGTAAGTATCCAGTTCACTCTTAAAATAGTTCGGGTCGCTTTCCGCATACAAAATCTCTAACCCAGTCCGTCCGTTATAGCGTTCCAACTCGAAACTATGGTTATGGTAGGAAAAGGTCAAACCTCCTTCAGCGAGACGCGCCGCAACTTCGGATGCCTCTTTCGCAAATGTCGCGTACCCTTCAGCACTACGGTATTCGCCGGGAAGTCCACCAATTGCGGCGTGCTTGCATCCCCACAATTGATGTTCGTCGATGACTGCTTGCGGTTCATCGTGCATCCGAGTGTAACTGGTATGTGTTGCGATGATGCTGATCCCTTCACCGTCAACGATGTTTTTCAGTGCTGCAGGTTCAATCGGACCGAGTGCGGAGCATTGCACCGCTTCATAACCGAGCTGCCGAACCTTTTTCATCGTTTCTGCGATATCTGCCTCAGTTTTAGTAAATTCTCTAACGGTATAAAGTTGTGCTGCGATCTGCTTCGCAGAGAGCGCGTTTTGTGTTGCCATAGTCATTCCTTCTATCTAACATAGGACTTACGCATTCCCTCTTAAAGTCCCCCTGATAAGGGGGATTTAGGGGGTTTAAAATACGGAAATTACCGCTTTTTGCGTCTAAATGTCCGATATTTGCTCAATTTGCGTAAGTCCTGTAACATATACTATTTGTGGATAGTATACCAAAATAGAGTCTACCAGTCAAGTTAATATGGATTGTGAACCAGAGCCATTCAGTTCTCCGGTAATTTCCATTTTCCGATTGCGGCTCCACTTTGTAGGAATGGCCTCCGCCTCACTATTCTCACTAACCGTTGACTGCTAACCACTATTTCATCAAGTTTCAAACTCGGCGTAAACCTTGTTCATAGTAGGGAAACCATTCATGGTCTCCCGTTGTTGACCGGCGGACGTGCGATAATGCACTTCGCATTTGGGCGAGTACGCCGCAAAATCGCACGACTATAAACCTACCCTAAAATTTAAAATGGATGCAATACTACTAACTGCTGATGAAAATCAACCGACAACCAATAACTTCTGAAAAAATTGGTTTGCATATAAAAAATGGTTTTGATACACTTTAAATTATGATGAAGTCTTTTTTTGGCGGTAAAGGGCTCGGTTCCTTTCGGCTTTTCCGTCTTCTCCTCCATTTCCCAAATTTCGTCAAGTTGGCGTGGCGACTGTTTGTTGACGAACGCGTTCCTATCTATCGGAAGGCGGTCCTCATCCTTGCCGAATTATTGGCGATTGTCTTTGCTGTTGTCTACTTCGTGAACCCACTCGACTTTGATTTTCTGCCTATCATTGGTAAACTTGATGATCTCCTTGTTGGTGCTTTTGTGATCCTTGTACCCGGTGCATGGTTCTTTATTAAATTATGCCCTGAACCTATTGTCCGTGAACATGTGGATCGTATTTCACGTAGAGAGTGAATAAATATTGCCGTATCCGATGCATTTTTTCAGACACATCATATTTTTTGCAACTTTTTTGCAACTTTTCTTTCCAATAGGTGTGTTTAGGACGCAAACACAAAAAATCTAAAAAGAGGGTTCCGGTCGCCTCAAAGATCGGACTCACTCCTAAATTATACTGGAGGTTTATAATCATGAAACTCAGAAACACACTTCGGAACCCTGTAAGGGTAATATTGATTTTAGCAGCACTCATCGTCGTAACAGGGATTGTCATCAGTTGGGATACCGATGAGTTGACCCTGCAAACTGCAATTGGACAGACAAACGACACACTTGAAACATCAGAAGATTTTCAGTATTTGGAACGTGCGAATCGGGCGTTTATTAATTTGGTAGCGCGGACGCGCCCTGCTGTCGTACAAATTACAACCATAACAGAAAGAAATAGGCGTGACGGACTACAGGGACAGCAATTTTCACCTGAGGAAGAAGATCTATTTAGACGTTTTTTTCGAGAACGCGCACCGCGTGATCTCACAGAACCTGTAAGAGGTATCGGTTCCGGGGTAATTGTCAGTGATGATGGCTATATCCTTACCAATAACCATGTCATTGAGGGTGCTGATGAAATTACAGTCACCCTTGCGAATCAGAAAGAGTATACAGCAAAACTCATCGGAAGGGATGCCGCTGGGACGAAGGTCAGCGGCACTGATTTGGCACTTCTGAAAATTGATGCTAAAGGACTTCCGGTGCTTCCGTTCGGCGACTCGGACGCACTTGAAGTTGGTGAGTGGGTTATAGCAATCGGGACTCCGCTTAATTTCTCACAAACGGTAACACGCGGTATTGTGAGTGCGAAAGGACGGGCAGAGTTCAGGGAGATTCCGTACAGTGACTTTATTCAAACCGATGCCCCCATTAATCGCGGAAACAGCGGCGGTGCCCTCATAAACATCCGCGGTGAATTAGTTGGTATTAACACTTTAATCGCAACCGGTGGTTTTACCACGGGAAATATCGGAATCGGTTTCTCTATTCCAAGTAATCTGGCACAACAGGTCTTGCCACAACTTATTGAAAACGGCAAAGTAGAACGCGCCTGGCTCGGCATTAGTATGGCACCTGTTGATTCGGATTTGGCTGATGAACGAAATCTTGACACGCCACGCGGTGCCCATGTCAAGGCAGTTGGCAAAGGCAGTCCTGCTGAAAAAGGTGGCATTCAGCCTGGAGATATTATTGTTGAATTTAATGACGAAACAGTCCGAGATAGGTCTCATTTGCAGCTGCTTGTAGGGGCAGCAAAAATTGGCAAGTCTGTTGATCTGACAGTCCTCCGGGAAGACAATCAGGAAAAGCAGTTGTCCGTAAATTGGAGAAACGGACAGAGGCAGTTTTGGCAAAACTCAACGAGGAGCAACAAAAATCCTTTGCGGGTCTCCAGGTCCGAAACTTGACTTCCGATATTGCTGAACGTTATGGCTACTCGTCGGACGAAAAAGGCGTGCTTATCACGGAGGTTGAGCGCGATAGCGATGCCGCACGGAAAGGTATCAGACCGGGATCCCTCATTCAAGAGATGGAATGGATGCCAATTGACAATCTTGAGACGTATTCCCGTCTTGCTGAACAGTTGACAGACGAAAATAAAAAACAGGTACTCCTCTATGTCAAACCACCAAATAGACAGGGTGGTGGGTATGTTACAATAAAAGTTCCTGCGTCAGACCGGTAATTGATGTGATGAGCATCCACTTCATTGTGCGATTCGCAGATTAATACTTGACGGATAGTTGTTTCTGTGGTATACTGCCCAAAAATAACTTTCCTTCTCTTATTCTCTTATCTTATTAAGAGGCTCAGATTTTTGATGAAAGCACAAAGGGTTGTTTGGCCGAGTCGTGCCAAAGTTGACGTTGAAACATTCGAGTTGCCACCTATTGGAGACGATGAAGTACTTGTCGCTACAGAGTGTACGCTTATCAGTCCCGGCACGGAGCGCGCGTTTTTATTAGGACTGCCCAATGCACAAGGAAGCTACCCATCCCATCCGGGGTACAGCAATATCGGCACGGTGATAGAAGTTGGAAAGGCAGTTACTAACCTTCAAGTAGGTGAACGCGTCGCTTCCACACAAGGGCATACCAGCCATTTTGTAACTTCACCGAATCGTTTGCTGAAAGTGGCATCCACTGATGTGCCAGCTGAAGAAGCGGTTTTCTTTAATCTCGGTGCGATTGCATTACAAGGGATCCGAAAGGCACGCATTGAATTGGGGGAGGCGACACTGGTTTTGGGACAAGGGCTTATCGGTTTGCTGGCGATGCAACTCGCGAAACTCAGTGGTGCAACTCCACTTATCGCTGCAGACCTCACCGATAGTCGTCTCGAAATTTCCAAAAGTATGGGATCAGACTGCGCACTCAACCCAGAAGATGCTAATTTCTCCGAGCAGTTAGGTGATGTTACGAAAGGCGATGGACCATCTGTTGTTATTGAAGCAACTGGACATCCAGACGCAATCAGCACCGCCTTAGATGTAGCGGGATGGGGTGCGCGCGTGGTGCTGTTGGCGAGCACACGCGGGGAAACACCAAAAGTGAATTTCTATCGGGATGTGCATAAAAAAGGTCTTATCCTTTACGGGGCGCACAATTCTATCCGCCCGCGCCAAGAATCCTCACCGAACTTCTGGACGCTTGAAGATGACAGCCTTTTGCTGTTGAATCTCATCGCACAGAAACGGTTCAATGTTATCCCGTTGATAAGCCATCGTGTTCCTGGAGAAGAGGCTCCGAAGGCATATCAACTCCTCATGGAATGGAATCCTGGCTTACTCGGTGTTGTTCTTCAGTGGAACAACGATATGTAGACGCTAATCTGAAGGGAAAAAATGGCACGCGAATATCCTATTGAAAATGTGCGCAACATCGGCATTGCAGCGCACATTGATGCTGGCAAAACAACTACAACTGAACGGGTTCTCTTCTACACCGGCAAAAAACATAAGATCGGTGCGGTAGATGATGGCACCGCTGAGATGGATTGGATGGTGCAGGAACGAGAACGCGGTGTGACAATCACCGCCGCCGCAACAACCTGTTTCTGGCGTGAACACGCAATTCACCTCATTGATACACCGGGACATGTCGATTTCACGGTGGAAGTAGAGCGTTCTTTGCGGGTCTTGGATGGTGCTATAGCACTTTTCTGTGCTGTCGGTGGGGTGGAACCTCAGTCAGAAACCGTCTGGCATCAGGCAGAACGTTATGGTGTACCGCGTATTGTTTTTGTCAATAAGATGGACAGGGTTGGTGCGAATTATGCCCGCGTTCTGGAGATGATGAAAGCGCAATTGGGTGCGAATCCACTTCCGCTCCAATTACCGATCGGTGAAGGCACAGACTTTGCGGTGTTATTGATCTGGTGACACAAAAGGCGATGCGTTGGGACGCAGCAGACCAAGGGCAAACCTATTCAGAGATGGAGATTCCATCTGAATTTCAGGATGAAGTCGATCAGGCACGGGAGAATCTTTTTGAGAGTGTTGCTGTTGAGGATGAGATGTTGCTTGAGAAATACTTGAACGGCGAAGAAATTACGCACGACGAATTACTGGCGACTGTTCGCGCAGCGACTTTAAATGGGGCATTAGTGCCGGTGCTGTGTGGAAGTTCTTTGAAGAATCAAGGTGTTCAACCGCTGCTTGATGCAGTCATCAATTTTTTACCATCTCCTGTTGATGTGCCACCGATTGAAGGGACTGTACCACATCCTACCTCTGGCGGCGCGCGTTCCAAACGCAAAGGAGACACAACCTCCGAGGAAGGTAAAATAACGCGTCCCGCAGACGATACTGCCCCGTTTTCAGCCTTAGCATTTAAAGTGGCAAGTCATCCGACGGTTGACAAACTCGTTTACTGTCGAGTCTATTCTGGCACGCTTCGGCGCGGGGAGGCAGTCTATAACGTCCGTTCCGAGAAACGAGAGCGAGTTAATCGCATTTTACAGATGCACGCCAATAAAGAGGCGGTGTCTGATGCGGCTTACGCCGGTGATATTGTGGCACTCGTCGGACTTAAGGATACCAAGACCGGGGATACCGTGACCGATGCAAAAGAGCCAATTCTCTTAGAATCCATCACCTTCCCGGATCCTGTTATCTCTATTGCGATAGAGCCTGAGCGTGCAAGTGATGCAGATGCATTAGAGGAGACACTCGAAAAACTCATGGACGAAGACCCTACATTCACCGTCGGGATTGACAAGGAAACCGGACAACGAATTATCTCAGGGATGGGCGAGCTGCATTTGGAGATTTTGACTGATAGGATGGTCCGTGAATTTGGGGTTAACGCTCGGGTGAGCAAACTCCAAGTGGCATATCGCGAAACTATAAGTACCGTTGCGGAGGCGCGCGGAACACACATTCATAAAACGGACGAGGAAGGCATCTACGGTGATGTGCTACTCACGGTTGAACCGTTAGAACGCGACGAAGGATTTCAGTTTGAGGATAATACCGACGAGACGCAGATTCCGCGGCAATATATCGCGTTCATTGAGAAGGCATTAGAAGGTGCGATGGGAACAGGTCCCCGCATTGGATATCCGATGCAAGACGTGAAGGTAACACTCACGGGGGGTTCCTATCATCCAACGGATTCCTCGGAGGTGGCATTTGAGGCGGCGGCAGCCCTCGCTTTTGAAAACGCTATCAAAAAGGCGAACCCGTTGCTCTTAGAGCCAATTATGCGGATACATATCACTGTTTCCGATGAACATGTCGGCAAGGTGATCGGCGACCTGAATTCACGTCGCGCCCAAATTAACGAGAGCACAACGCAAGATGCATCCGATACAGGCCGCGTATCACAATCAACGCAGAACGTCGTCAACGCCTTTATCCCGTTGTCAGAGACATTTCAATACACGACACGTCTCCGTTCGATGACACAAGGACGTGGCGCGTTTACATTGGAATTTTCACATTACGAAGTGGTGCCTGAATCTCTTGCGCCGGGCGCGAATTCTGTTGTCTCGGCTTAGACACAGCTTAACGTCCGTAGGCTTTCATTACCTTTTGTAGTTCTGCCAAGGGAATCGCGTGCATCGTTCTGCCGTTGCGTCCAGTGGTTGTCGTCGCCATTGTCATTGAGTTGACAATAGCCTCCTCTGTTGCTTCAATCACTGCTTGGAAGAGTGAACTTAAACGTCCATTGACGAGCATCTCGATTTGAAAGGTGCCAGTTTCGGTTCTGCTTAGAAAGATATTCGCAGTGGAAAACGCGATGACGAATTCGCCACTACCATCCGTACTCGGTGTCCCTGTGCGAGCGAGTCCGTGTGTTGCGCGGATCGCTAACTGTTTCAATTGACGGTGTGTTAGTGGCGCATCTGTCGCAATAACAATAATAAATGATCCTTCTCTGCCAAGTTTCGGTGGGATCCAGTAATTTCCGTGCCAACTGGGACACCATCAATTCGTAATTGATGCCGCCGACCTCCATTGGAGTTAACGAGTACACCTACTGTCATCCACCTGTTCTTCAGGCAGAACACGGGAAGCAGTACCAATACCAGCTTGAACTGGTAGCATCGCATGCCGGTGCCACCACAACGCAGCCTTCGACCACGGACCACTCGTGGCATTTTCAATGGCTTCAATCGCGTGTTGCGCTGTAACATGGAGTCCACTGATGTCATTCAAACCGCCATCGTAACCACTCTGCTACAATCGGCAGCACAATATTGTTGTCAGGATACCTTTTCACAATGTACCGAACAACACCATCGTGAACTGCTCCGACACTAAGCGTATTTGTGAGTAAAATGGGGGATTCAATCCATCCAGCTTGGTTAATACGGGCGATACCAGTTGCTTCACCGTTGCCGTGGATAGTATATGCTGCGCCGAACAGCCGCGCTGTCCAAATATCATCACTCGAATGACGCGGTGAACCACCGGTGCGAATCGATCGCCCTTCGTTCAGAGTTACATGCCCTTACCTTCACACCAGTGACATCGGGTGATGCATTGTGAATGCCCATGTTGGAAGGCTCCCGATTGGATTACCGATGTCGCGTGCCCGTGCGCGGATATCCACTTCTTCAGGTTCAGCACCTATCCTGTATATAGAATAGGGTCCAAAGAACACCGATAATAATAACATAGTACAATATGTTCGTATGATACGAGGATTCAGTAACTCGCATCCGTTTAAGAATTTCTGCATTTTCCAATTGATTCCTATAAATTTCGCGAATTTTGTTAAGATAGTGATATATGTTGGTAACCGGTAGTCGGGGTAACTCCACTCCCACGGTTGGAACGTCTTACGATAAAAGCGGAGTGTAATTTCGGCATAAATGCCATCACAGAGATAGATACGGTGGGCGTGATCCTTCGTTGATGCAAGCACTAACTTTGCTAAACAGAGGTAACCTGCGTCTAAATTGACACGCCGTGCATCACCTTCAGGCTTCTTTATTGTGAAATTTTGCTCCACCGTATTTTGTAAACAGTTTCATCTCTGTCAATGTACCTGCGTCAACGAGCCTTTCAAAACTGATAAATTGCCTGTGAATGTCCGGTCCCATCTCAGTTTCATAATAGTTTGTGCCTGTAAAAGGCAGCAGTTCGCTTGTGAAGTCAATGGGCCCGAGATGTTGTGTAAGTTCCGCGTAAACGGTTGACAGAAGACACGGTTCCAGTTGTCAGCACACCGTAACGGCTTTAACAGGTTGTGGTGTTGTAACGATTCCCATGTTGTTCTCCATAGTCTAACCGTAAAACGAGGTTCTTGTGTCTCGCCAACGTAAATTTTATCCATTGAGTATAGCAGACAACATTCAAGTGTCAATGTTCATTTATCACGTCAAAAATTGAGGCTTAAAATGACAATATTAGACTTCAAAATTCATTAAAATGTGAAAAAAACGCATTTTTTTGATTTTTTCTTGACATTTTTTAAATTATAATGTATAATATTCTGTTATGCTATGCTACGTCACCATATTAAGACGGAAAAAGCAGCTGCGGAAGCAGGCTTTTCAAGAATCTACTCGTAAGCTGCGCAACCACCGCCAAATAGGGGGACTCCATTCAGTGAACAAAACGCCCAGAAAAATATGAGAATGTCTTTTGCCAAAACACAGATTCGGACAGAGCTCCCAAATCTTATAGAAACCCAAAGGCTTTCCTATGATGCCTTTTTACAGCGAGATGTCTCACCCAATGAACGTATAGATACAGGCCTCCAATCAGTATTCAAAGAAGTGTTTCCGATCCGAGATTTTTCGGAGGTCAATAGCCTTGAATTGTCAGTACACCCTCGGTACACCCAAATATACATTACAAGAGTGCGTTGCGCGCGGTGTGACGTATCAGGTATCCCTCACAGCGCGTATCATGCTCGTCCTACGTGAAGCGGATCCGGATGCGATGAACCACACGTCGTAGATATCCGAGAATCCGATGTTTATCTCGGCGAAGTTCCATTAATGACTGAAAATGGCAGCTTCATTGTCAATGGCAGTGAACGTGTGATAGTGAGTCAGCTGCACCGTTCGCCGGGTGTCATTTTTCTTGAGAAATCATTGCCAACCGGAAGACGGACACCGACTGCCCAAATTATTCCGTATCGAGGGGCGTGGGTTGAATTTGAATAGACACGAAGGATCAGATTATGTCCGCATCGACAAACGGAGAAAGCTACCTGCTACAGTGCTACTTCGTGCCCTCGGTTGGGAGTCAGACGCGGATATCCTGAAACTCTACGCCAAGACGGAACGACTTGTGCTTGATGGGTGGAAGGTTACGCATGTAGAGGGACCCGCATACAGGTTAAAACGGGTGACTTATTAGACGCTGCAGAATTCGGCAGGCGAGCAAGGACTATCCCGGATCTTGAGACTGAGAAGTACTATCGCGTTACTCTGGGTACCAGATGAGGGCTGCCCATTAGAGATAGGACAAACAGATTTCGGAGAGAGAGCGTACAAGCTCCGCAGAAAATGGAAGGGCTTTGAAACCGAACTGCTCCGCCGCGTTGTTGATACCACGACAGTGGGTGTGAGTTGACACTTGGCAGGTGCTAACGAATTCGGAATATGAAAAGGCGCGCGACCGCTACGGAAAAAGGCTTTCACGGCTGAACAGATTCTGCCCGAAGATGGTCAAGATAGAGTCTGTGCTGAAGACGTTATTCATCAAGAGACCGGCGAAGTGCTCCTCACGGCGAATACACTCCTCACCGAAACTGAGTTGGAGCGTCTCAAAGAATCTGGTGTTGAAGCACTCATTGTCCTGGATACGGAAGATTGCCAACACATCCGGTTTTTACGTAATACACTGGAACGCGACCGACAGGCAGACTATGACAATCAGTATACTTTAAAGGACGCATCACTACTTACGATTTCCGCACGTTGAGGCCCGGGGATACTACCAATATAGAGAATGCGCGTAAACACCTCTCATGGCTGCTTTTTGATTCACACCGGTACGATTTGGGCGTAGTTGGGAGATACAAGCTTAATCGAAAATTTCATCAGACGCCTGTTTATGGAGCACCTCCTGAAGAGACATTACGTACGCTCCGCCCGGAAGATATTGCTGCTACGGTAGATTACCTTCTTAAAGTACATAACGGGGTAGCACCGAAAGACGATCTCGACCATCTCGGCAACCGACGCGGTACGCGTTATCGGTGAACTCCTTGAAAACCAGTTTCGGATGGGATTATTCCAAATTCGTAGGACGACGCGCGAACGGCTAAGTACCAATAACGATATTGCGAAAGTGGTGCCGTCATCACTTGTAAACCCGAAACCGCTCATGATGGCACTCCGTGAATTCTTTGGCTCAAACCAGTTGTCGCAATTTATGCAACAGATTAATCCGCTGGATGAATTGACGCACAAACGCCGTATTTCAGCCATCGGTCCGGGTGGGCTTCATCGAGACAGGGCAACAGCCGCCGTTCGGGATGTACACTGGACGCACTACGGACGGGTCTGTCCCTTGGAAACGCCTGAAGGTCCCTCAATCGGACTCATCGTGTCTCTCGCTTGCTATGGGCGGATAACCCGTACGGTTTCATAGAGACACCCTATCGTAAAATAGAGAATGGATCCGTTTTAGGACCGGTCGAATATCTCACGGCAGATAGCGAAGATACCGCCTACATCGCTGCGAAGATAGCACCGAGCAATGCCGCACAAACTATAAATGGTGGCACGGGTGCTGCGGGACAACTCCTGCCTGTCCGCAGTGGCGAAGATGTGCTGTCTCTCCCGATGGAAAAGGTGAACTATATTGGGATCTCGCCGCAGCAGATCGTTGGAATCTCTGCCGCACTTGTTCCATTTCTGGAACACGAGGATGCGAACCGCGCATTGATGGGTGCGAACCACCAGCGCCAAGCAGTACCACTTATCCAGCCAGAAGCACCGCTTGTCGGAACCGGAATGGGAAGGACCAGCCGCGCTGTATTCGGGCGCGCTCATCACTGCTAAGCGCGCGGGGACTGTCACAAGTGTCTCTGCTGACGAAATCCTCATATACACAGGCGAGACCCTTCACCATGATGAAGGTGAAAACACATTTAGCGAGATGGGCTACGATGTTTATAAACTCCAAACTTTCAAGCGGAGTAACAGCGGTACCTGTATCCATCAACGTCCGATCGTCGCAGTAGGTGATAAGGTTGAAGCAGATCAGGTCATCGTTGATGGCACCTCTACAGAGAATGGGGAACTCGCCCTCGGTCGGAATATTCTGTGTGCTTACATGCCGTGGGGTGGCCACAACTATGAGGACTCTATCCTTATCAGTGAGACGCTCATCAAAGAGGATACCTTCACTTCTATCCATATTGAGGAATTTGAGGTAGAGGCGCGCGAAACGAAGGTAGGACCGGAGGAAATCACACGTGACATCCCGAACGTTAGCGAACAGCGACTCGGTCAGCTTGACGAGGAAGGCATCATCCGTGTTGGTAGCGTTGTTAAAGCCGGTAGCATCCTTGTCGGCAAGATTACACCAAAAGGTGAAAGCGAATATGGACCGGAAGAGAAACTCCTACGAGCGATCTTTGGTGAAAAGGTTAAAGAGGGTACGGGATGCCTCTACTTATGTTCGTCCTGGAGTTGAAGGGGTCGTCATTGATGTAAAGGTATTTTCACGTAAACCCGATGGTGCGCAACGGCGCGGGAACTGGATGCAAGATGACTCCGGGTTGTCAATGGCTGATGGATTACGGTATGAATCAAAACGTAAGGAGATTGAGGAGACTTTGCGTCAGCAAACCGCTTCAATCCGCCGTCGAAAAACCGAGGAGACTCGCAACGCGCTTATCGGATGTGAACTTGTTGATCCACTTTATGCGGTCGGTGATTCCGAACCTTTTGCCAATGCCGGTGATAGCCTGACTGCCGAAGTTTTAGATACCTATATCTCCGGTTTCACGGCAGATGAGTATCATACGGTAATAGAGGATACCGCCGCTGAGGCCTTCATTGCTGATCCGTGCTATAGGGTAACGAGTGTTCCTGAACCTGTTCCTACTATCGCGATGCCTACGCTTGATGCCTTAGCCGAAGAAGCAGTGCCTACCGACAGCGACGCGGATGAGAATTTTGAAGATGTAGGAATATCCTCAGTTTCACCTTCAGAAATCGTCAACACAGTGCAAGCATATTTGAGCGAAGTTTTGCAGCCACTCTTGGGAAATAGTGAGTTACATTTGCAGGAAGAAGAACCTTTAAGTGCGCAAGCGGTCCATGCTGATGTTTCACTTCTCGGTTACGACGGCAGCGTGGTTGCTATTGCTATGCATAAGAACGCTTACGCCGACGATGAAAACTCCGAAGATGAACCTGATACCGAGCAACTCAAGGAGACGCTTACTGCAGCGAACGCTCGGTTCGCGGTATTGGTGGCGGAAGGTGATCCTGACCTGATAACTGGAATTTCTATGAGCTTGTGGACAACACAGTGTTGAACACCCAAGAACGCCCTGAATTTGAACAATCTGTTGTTGCTCAACTGGAGGAAGCCGGATGTCCCATCGTAGAAGGGGAAGAACTCACTGAAGCAGAATGGACGGACTACAGTGAAATCCATCCAGATTTGCAAACAGAACGATTTTGGCAAATTAAGGAAATCTTTGACGCGGGAGTGTCCGTTGATCGAGGGGCAGGAGTTTTCCGATGCTGACTATCAGAAGGCGTGTAGCGATTATCCGGCACGTCTTGTGGAAGCAGGTCAACGACTGACTGAGGAAGAGCGGGAGGCACTCAATAAGACTGCCAGAAACCTAAAAGCCGAAAGCACTTGGCACATTACTGCTGTTTACGACCCGAGGTGCACACTATCGGTTGGAGAATATGCTTCTGATGCTGACTATCAGAAAGCGCGTAAGGCACGTAGTTTGTCGTTCTCGGACATCAACGTGACCAATACCGAGACGAAAGAGCACATTCAGCGCGTTGAGGAGATGGCACAGGGCAGGATCACCGCTTACACAGACGAGAAAGAGCAAGCACTCCACATTGGAAATGGGTGATGAACTCAAGCCGGTGTTATCAAGCGTGTCAAAGTCTATGTTGCCAGCAAACGTCCTATTTCTATTGGTGATAAGATGGCGGGTCGCTACGGTAACAAAGGTGTTGTTGCCAAAATTTTGCCAGCTGAGGATATGCCCTATCTGCCAGATGGTACGCCGGTTGAGTTAGTGTTGAATCCTTTGGGTGTACCCTCTCGAATGAACGTCGGTCAAATCTTGGAAATTCACCTTGGATGGGCGTGCCATGAACTCGGTATCCACTCGGAATCTCCTGTATTTGATGGCGCGACCGAGAAAGAAGTTTTTGAAATGCTTGGCAAAACCAATCTCCCGGAACGGAGTAAACGCACGGGTAAGAGCATCCTTTTTGATGGTAGAACTGGTGAACCGTTTGCCCAAGAAGTACGTAGGATACGTCTATTTCCTTAAATTGAACCACCTCGTTGCTGATAAGATGCATGCTCGCTCCACAGGCCCTTACTCTCTCGTTACACAACAACCGCTCGGTGGCAAGGCACAACACGGAGGCCAACGACTCGGTGAGATGGAAGTCTGGGCATTGGAAGCTTACGGTGCTGCACACACACTTCAAGAAATGCTCACGCTCAAATCGGATGATGTTCTTGGCAGAAGAGAGATTTATGAATCGGTTGTGAAAGGGCTAAACCCTGATTCGCCCGGAACCCCCGAATCGTTCAAGGTATTAGTCCGTGAACTCCAAACTCTCGGACTCCATGTATCCCTCGACCAAGATGAAGAAGAATAGTTTTCAGTTTAGATGAACATTCCTCTGACGACTGACAACCACCATAAGGAGGACTGATGAACACGGCATTTGACAGCATCTCCATAAAGATAGCCTCGCCTGATCAGATAAAGGACTCGGCGAAACAAACGAGTTGTAGACACCGAAATCCTGCTGAAGCTACAGATGGCCCCTTTATCTGCCCGGAAAAAGGTACGTGTAGCTGCGGTGAGGTCAAGAAGGCGGAGACTATTAACTACCGCTCCTTTCGTCCAGAACCTGAAGGGCTTTTCTGTGAGGCTATCTTCGGACCACAAAAGGATTGGGAGTGTAACTGCGGTAAGTATAAACGTATTAAGCACAAAGGACTGATATGTGATCGCTGTGGCGTTGAGATCACACAACAACGCGTCCGTAGGGACCGACTCGGCTACATCCAACTCGCTGCACCTGTCTCCCATATATGGTATTTCAAGGGGCTCCCATCACGCATCGGCGTTTTCTGTGGGGGGCTCTCTTCACGTGATGTTGAACGTGTACTCTATTTTGAAGGTTTTATTGTCGTTGAGGTAACCGACCCAGATTGTCCACTTGAAGTTGGGCAGGTGTTAACCGAAGTTGAATACGTAGAGCATAGTAATAAGCACTGGGGCGGTTTCCGCGCTGGTACCGGTGCAGAAGTCATCCGAGAAATCCTTAGCAATATTGATCTTGCAGAGAAGATAGAAGCGTTAACCCAAGAGTTGGCGGAAACAACAAGCCACCAGAAAAAACTTAAGGTCGCCAAGCAGTTGAAGCAGATGGCAGATTTTGCGGACGCTGAGCAGCGACCCGAGTGGATGATTCTGGATGTCATTCCAGTGATTCCACCGGATTTACGACCGCTTGTTCCACTTGAAGGTGGACGCTTTGCTACCAGTGATCTGAACGACCTGTATCGCCGTGTTATCAATCGCAACAACCGACTTCGTAAGCTGATACAACTCCGTTCCCCGGAGGTGATTCTTCGGAACGAAAAACGGATGTTACAAGAAGCCGTTGATGCTTTCTTTGACAACGGACGACACGGTAGACGTGTCACTGGTCCCGGTAACCGTCCCCTTAAATCCCTCGCTGAGGTGCTTAAAGGTAAAATTGGACGGTTTCGTCAGAACCTGCTCGGTAAACGAGTTGACTACTCTGGACGTAGTGTTATCGTTGTCGGACCTGAATTGGGGCTGCACCAGTGTGGTATACCGAAACGGATGGCAGTTGAATTGTTCAAGCCGTTTATCATTGAGCGACTGCAAGCGTACGGCTATACACAGACGATTAAGCGTGCGAAGCATATCGCTGAACACGTTGACTCCGATTCACCTGTGTGGGAAGTCGTAGAGGAAGTAATTGCGGATCATCCGGTCCTGCTCAACCGTCCGCCGACATTACACCGACTCGGCATTCAAGCATTTTTGCCTGTCTTGGTGGAAGGCAAATCAATTAGAATTCCGCCGCTCGTTTGTAAGGCGTTTAACGCCGATTTTGATGGCGACCAGATGGCAGTTCACGTGCCGCTGACGGTGGAAGCACAGGCTGAGGCGAAACTCCTCATGCTCAGCAGTCACAACATTTTGAAGCCCTCACACGGTCGTCCGATCGCCGTTCCTGAACTCGACATGGTCCTTGGATCCAGTTTCCTTACAAAAACGTTACCAGGGTACGCTGAGGATGCGGCACTTTTGCACGAGGCGTACACTGTAGGTGATGCTTCTGCTTTTGAGGTATTCCGTGACAAACCGTGGTACCACCGGCGCTTCGCGCATCCGGAGGAGGTCGTCACCGCCCATGCTGCTGGTCAACTTAAACTGCACGACAGCATCCAACTCTTCATCACATCCAATGGACATAGCGAAAACGGTGCAGCGACAGAGCCGATTCTCACAACAGTGGGTAGAGTTATCTTTAACGAAGTGCTCCCACGTGAATTAGAATGGGAAGACGAACATTCGCAGCGGCGTATCCCGTTTTTCAATACAGAAGCCGGCGGACGAGAATTATCTCAAATAATTGAGGATTGCTTCCGCGAGTTGGGGACCCGCGTCACAACTGAAGTACTTGAAAATGTCCAAAAACTCGCTTTTGAGTACGCAACATTGAGCGGTATTTCGCCCGGCATCGCGGATTATATTACACCTGGCAACCGGAACGAGTTGGTGAACAAGGCCAAGGCAGAAATTGAGGACCTCCTTGAAAGTGCTCCCGCAACTGAGCGTGAGGAATATGAAAACGAGCAGATTCGCATCTGGCTGAACGCAAAGGACAAGATAGAAGATGAGATGTTCAATACCTTACCGCAGTTAGAAACCGCCCTTGTTGAGCGCGGGGACCCGCGTAAGGTTCACCCCTACGTCGATCCCAGTGGATTAGAGATAGACGACAAAACGGTGGTCGGCTTCAGTCCAGTGCATATCATGGCAGACAGTGGAGCTCGCGCGCGAAAAGATCCATTCATGCAAATCAGCGCCTTTATCGGATTGAAGGCAAAGCAGGATGGTGATATCCTCATTCCACCGATAGGGACATCTACTTATCGTGAGGGAGACGCAGGTCTACCGAACTATTTTTGTTCTTATCGTGAAGGTTTGGATGTGCTTGACTATTTTAACTCTACCTACGGGTCGCGTAAAGGTTTGGTGGACACAGCACTGAAAACTGCTCATTCTGGTTACCTCACCCGGAGACTTGTGGATGTTGCCCAAGATGTCCGCGTTACCACTGAAGATTGCCATACGCTGAACAGCATCCAAAAGTTTGCGACAGAAGGCGGTGATCTCGCCTTTAAAATCAGTGGACGCACCGCTGCCGAGGATATTGTGCATCCAGAGAGCGGTGATGTGGTTGCTCACGCCAACACCGTTATATCCACGCAGGTGGCGAACCAGATTGATGATCTTGGTATAAAAGTGGTGAGGGTACGCTCCGTCCTGACCTGCCAGACGGACGAAGGCGTTTGTGCCAAATGCTACGGGAACGATCTGACAACGAATAGCCTTGTGAATGTTGGTGAAGCCGTCGGAATTATCGCCGCACAATCCCATCGGTGAACCCGGAACGCAGCTTACGATGCGCACATTCCACACAGGTGGTGCTGTTGAGGACGTTTCGGAAGCCCGTCAGCATAAAATTCTATCCAAAGCCAGTGGTACCGTGCGTTTCCGAGATTTCCAACCAGGACGAACGGTCAAAGAGGAACGTGATCTCTGGATAGCCACCGAAAACCGGGCAAATCTTGATGGACCCGCTTACAAAGTCCAACAAGTTAACCACCCCGGTTGTCAACTGCGTGAAGGTGAATTACTCAGTGAGAAACAGTATAGCGAAAACACAGAGCGTTATAAAGGCTTTGATACCAAGACGTGGCAGTACGAAGTCACTGCTGTTTTGGATAGCGGTTGCCGTTTGAAGATAGGTGATCAGTTATCACAGGCAGAATACACCAAAGCGCTCACAGAATACGGTTTCCAACGATTTGTAACGCCTCACTACCGCGTGACACAAGTGCAACACCCGGACATCTCGGTGGCTGCTGGCGACCTGCTCACTGAAGAAGCGGCAAAGCAGCTGAAGGATGAGATTCGACACGGGTTTGATATAGAGTTATATTACTTAGATCCAGAAACAGGCGAACTTGTGAAGGAAGAAGACCTTAAGGTAACGAGTAATGCCTCTGGACAGACGAATGTATCTGCGAGTAGTGAAGAAGACGATACTGGTTTCAAGCGCATTTATCGTGTAACCAGTATAGACAAGACGGTAAGAAAGAACTTCCCATTTAAGGTGGGACAAGAAGTTCCAACGGAAGAAATTACGCCGTGGTTGACCCCGTTTGAGGTAGATTCAAAGCCAATTTACGTTGTGAATAAAGACATCCCAAATGGATCACCCCTTCTTGAACAGACTGTTTTACCAAGTGATAGCAGGAGTTCGGATACGTCGCCTCTTAAGATTGGTGACGAATTGAGCACGACTGACTATGAGCGCTCCTGCGCTACGTATCGAGATAATGGATGGGCGTTTAAGGTTGAAAAGCAGGAGGTCGAGCGACATCACGTAACACAGGTGTATCATCCCGAATGCCCTCTTAAAGTTGGTGAAGAGTTAACAAAGGAGGCATTAGGCCGTGCACATAAACGGTTTACAGGTTTCAAAGCACAAAAACTGCGGCACCGCGTTACACAAGTTCATCACCCCGATTGTCTACTTAAACTGGGAGATTTGCTCGGTGAGAGTGAGGCAAAACAGCATCGTGAGGCTTATTTAGGGTTCACTACTTCTACAAGTGAGACGATAATAGGCGGCTTTGAGGCAGAACGCGTATATCGTATAACTGCTGTCAATCATCCGGACTGTCCATTAGAAGTAGGCGAACTTTTAACGCAACATGACGCGACCGCAAAACGCCGACAATACAAGGGATTGGAAGTCGCTCGTCATTATGAAGTGACAAACGTTGAAGATGGTACCACAACGGTGAATGTAGGCAACCGTCTCACCGAAATCGAGTATAAGGCACTCCGCAAGACGGACGCTGCACTCACAGAAAAAGTTACAGACCTGTATG